AGAAGAAGAAGAAGAAGAAGAAGAAGAAGAAGAAAGAAGAAGAAGAAGAAGAAGAAGAAGAAGAAGAAGAAGAAGAAGAAGAAGAGAAGAAGAAGAAGAAGAAGAAGAAGAAGAAGAAGAAGAAGAAGAAGAAGAAGAAGAAGAAGAAGAAGAAGAAGAAGAAAAAAAAAAAAAAAAAAAAAAAAAAAAAAAAAATATATATATATATATATATATATATATATATATATATTATATATATATATATATATATATATATATATATAGAGAGAGAGAGAGAGAGAGAGAGAGAGAGAGAGAGAGAGAGAGAGAGAGAGAGAGAGAGAGAAGAGAGAGAGAGAGAGAGAGAGAAGAGAAAGAGGAGAGAGAGAGAGAGGGGGGGGAGGTAGAGAGAAGGGAAAGAGATAGAAAGAAAGAAAGAAAGAAAGAAAGAGAGGGAGAGAGAGAGAGAGAGAGAGAGAGAGAGAGAGAGAGAGAGAGAGAGAGAGAGAGAGAGAGAGAGAGAGAGAGAGAGAGAGAGAGAGAGAGAGAGAGAGAGAGAGAGAGAGGGGGGGGGGGGAGAGAGAAAGAGAAGAGAAGAGAAGAAAGAAAGAAGAAAGAAAGAAAGAAAGAAAGAAAGAAAGAAAGAAAGAAAGAAAGAAAGAAGAAAGAAAGAAAGAAGAAAGAAAGAAAGAAAGAAAGAAAAAGAAAAAAGAAAGAAAAAAAGAAAGAAAAAAGAAAGAAAGAAAGAGAGAGAGAGAGAGAGAGAGAGAGAGAGAGAGAGAGAGAGAGAGAGAGAGAGAGAGAGAGAGAGAGAGAGAGAGAGAGAGAGAGAGAGAGAGAGAGAGAGAAAGTGTCAATTGTTTTCTTTTTAGGAATAGATAAATTTTGAGAAAGGTAGAAAGATATCCAGCTTACCATCTTTTTGACAAAAAATATCATAATTTCCACTCCTTGGGACATACTCAGCTCTACAAAATCACAAATTTTCAAAAGAAAATATAATCATAAAGGGTAAAATAATCATGCATATTCCAAAGATTTATTGTCAAAGAAACTAGATAAATAAATGAGAAATTTTAATAAATACTCACACAAAACGACTGCATTTTTTTATGACAGCCACAGTAAGGGGGTAAAGTTACTAAAATCATACATACCTTGACTGTCGATCCATCGCCTTGACTCTTAGTTCCTCCCATCTTGTGTTGAGGAGCTTCATCTGCACTCGGACTTCTTCCTCTTCCTCTTCTTCCATCACTCCTTCTTTTAAGAGTCTTGATCCCTCTCCTAGGACATCTCCAATACCTCCCTGCTTTGAAGTTAGCTCCAACATGAGTTCCTGAAAGAAATGGTATTACTTGCCCTTAGAACTGCTTTCTATATGGGAAAACATGTAAATTCAGACAAACTGAGGTATAAAACATTCTACTTAGACATGAACCTACCTCTAAGTCATGGAACTGGTCCTTAACTTCTTCTGTAGTATTGGCTATGGGAGGCATAACTGCCAGTCTGTCTTCAGCACCCAGGAGCCAGGTTAAAACTTCTTCTAATGTGCGCTGGTACTCCCCTAGGCCAATGCTTACATTTGACAGCGGTCTACCTTTACTGGAAGCCTGTGCAACATTTTCACTGCTTGTCTGTTGTGAGGAAAGTTCAAGTATTACAATACACATTAGTATAAGAGAGCTCAAATGAGTATCATATACATTTTCTAAAAAATGAAAAAAAAAAGTAAAGTATAAAGTATTTTCAGTAGAAAAGTCACTCAAATATTCAAACTTACGTCAAGAGAGAATGAAGAATCAGACTGTATTGACACGTCAAGGCTTTCCATAGTGAAAGAGCCATGAGGAAGTGCTTGGAACAGGCACATTACATACATCATAATAGATTTCTTGTCAGGAACTTGAGAATTGACATCTGTAAGATATAAACAAAAAATATAAGATTGTAAATGAAATCTTCATCTATGGAAGAAAAATAATAGTTGGAAAAAATGTGCACGATATTTTCCGAATAATAAACGAGTGCTAATAGCATATGCACTAAATTGTTCACCTTCTGGATCTAGAAGTCTTTCAATGTTAAAGTGTTCATTTGCAAGTCTAAAAGCATTTTCCAGCCGAGCATATGGGTGTTTCCGAGCCATTACTGTCCAGTCAAAAAGCTGAGGGCGATGGCTATGAATGAGGGCATTGAAGGCCAGGCCATCGGTCCATGAAGTTGTGAAGTTTCTTACATCAACTCCATGATAGCCCTGAAAAGTGGGAAAAATGGGTTTCACTTCTTAGGGAGAGTTTAACTCAAAGTGCATCATAACATAATCCACATTACAAAATACTGGGCAACACAAGTGAGAATAATATCATTTTTATGATTTAAAAAAGTAATGAGAAGATTCTCCAATAACCTTAGTTGTTTGTCTACACCATGCCAACAGAGTCTTTTCTAGATTTGTTTGCTGGAGGTCTGACATGACATCCTTCAAGACACCTTGGACCTGTAAAATTATGAC